CCTCCCCCCTCCTCGGAGGCCAAGACGTTGATGGTGGGTATTAATCTTTTAATACTTGGAGTATCTGAGAATATTAATCTGTACGAGTACAGGATTATATATCTCCATTATTATTATTGCCCATCGGCCTAGTACTAAAACGAGAAAGAACACGCAGCCGCAAGCCATAGAGCAGGCATTTCGATTCGCCCCTTGGTATCAACGATATCATTCCGTCGATCCTCCGCCATCTTCTGATCTTATCACATCATTCATCCTGTCCTCTTGTTTCTCCTTCCTATTCCTACCACCAAGAGAAACCGAAACTTCTGTACGACGTTATCCACACTTCTCGCCTTCACTATCATCACCACCACCACCACCACCACCACTACTCCACAGACAAACAATGCATCTGCAATCGCTACTTCCAGTGGCTGTCGCCCTCGTCAGCCTTGCCTCTGCGCACGGCGATCACGCCCCCGAGGCGGACGAGAATGCTAACTGGATGACGAAGCACATGGCCGGTATGCCTCTTCTCTCTCTCTCTCTCTCTCTCTGTCTCTGTCTCTGTCTCTGTCTCTGTCTCTGTCTCTGTCTATCCCAGGATCGAGAGTGCTATAATCTATGCTAAGACGACTGCTATCATTCCTGCAGAGGAACACCACATGCAGAGCTTCGACGACGCCGCCTTCTTCGCCCTGCACGACTACAACAGCGACGGTCAGTGGCAGGTGGCCGAGCTCCTCCGGACCTATGGCCTGATGGACGAGTCGAACGAGCACGTCGGCGGCGCGCGACGCGCCGAGCTGGCCGACCGGCTGCTGACCCTGCTCGACACGGACGGCGACAGGGCCGTCTCGCGCGACGAGTGGCTCTCCTTCACCGCGGCCGGCAACGACCTGCCCGACCTGGGCACCGGCCCGGGACACCACGGAGACGACGAGTACGAGTACGAGATCCACCATTGGGAGAAGTTTCACGGCGACGACACCAAGCTCGAGGACCTCACCCACCCAGAGGACATCGAGCACTTCCGCAAGCACGAGCAGATGGAGGATGACCAGGATAAGCTCGAGGAGCAGGAGAAGCAGCCCATCATCGAGGCGAATATCCCTCTCAAGTTCAGGAAGCAACAGTAATTCTGTATTCCACCTTCCATCTTCTTCTTCTTCTGACCTTTTCTTTCTCTGGCTTTTTTTAGAGAGAGAGAGAGAGAGAAAAAAAGGGGATTCGGTGGGCGAGGCGTTGATGGGTGGATGATTGTAATGTGTACACGTCGTGCGACGGGTTTCCCTTTGGTCTTCTTCTTTGGCTTTCTTCTTCTTTGGCTGGCTTTTTTCTATATCATTTCTGTCATCATATATAAATTTTTAATTCTTTTCATACAAGATTTTTTTCTTCTTCACTTTCTCATCAACTCGTGATGTGAATGTCAAATACGCAGTGCCACACCCCAGGTGCATACGTCTTGACCTTTTCGACGTGATCTACCCGTGAATGTCGACCATTCGAAAGGACGGCGGCCCTCTCCTCGAACCGGCTCTGCAGCACCCTGCTCCGACCCTGCACATCGTCCACTCCCACATTGTCGTGGAGATGGAGCCACGCCTCGTCGCTGTGCACCGTCATATCCCACGCCGTATCCCAGGTAGGTTCGCTGGTAGGGAGCAGCCCGCAGTTGACGTGGGTGACGGCCCTGACCAGCCCCGCCCCTTGCAGTGTGCGCACCCGACCGGCGGCCCTCTGGTTGTCCTCGAGGAAGACCGTGATCCTCTGGCCCCCACCGCGGACCAGTTCCACGAGCTGCGCGTCGGACATGCCCTCCAGCTCCGACCCTGACACGACCCTCACCCCCCACCTGTTCGCCGCGGCTCCTCGCCTCAGCCCCTCGACGCTCCAGGCATTCATCTCCCAGCACAGGACCTTCATCCCCAGCGACGCGTACGAGAAGACGAAGTAGCCTATCCCGGCATACAGGTCGACTGCCCACTGCTGCCGCTCGCCTGCGTCGGTGACGGGAGCCTTGGGGAACCCCAGCAGCCTGGCCTTCTCCTTGACGTTCCCCCGGCTGAACATCGTCCACCGAGGTGCCCAGGTCTGCAGTATCCCGTTCTGCCTCGTCCGGACCCAGAATGCCCCCTCGAAGTCACGCGTTCCCGTGCCGGCGCCCTCTTCTGCGCCGCCAAAGTCCCCATGCAGCATGCGCAGCCCGCTCGGGCTGCGGAGCACATTCTCCGACTGGTCGCCGGGGTCCGCATCAGAGTCGCTGCGTAGTACCGGGGGGATCGCCTCGTTGACGGCTAGGTGCGTGACTCGACGCTTGCCCTCGTTCCCGGAGATCTCCTCCAGAATCATTCGCCAGAGCGACCGTGTGCTGCTGTCGCTGCTGCTGCTGAGAATAGTCGTCCACGTCTCATGGGTGAAGCTGGCGGACGGCAGGAGGACCATGGGTTCGTAGATGGTGAACCGCTTCGGCGCCGTCCCTACCAGTTGCTCGGCGATTCCTGGATAATCCTCGTCTGGGACGTGGGCTTCCGCCCAGGTCCTGACGGCCTTGCGGATGGGATTCTCACGGCATTGTTTGGTCATCTCGGCTCGCTGTGTCTCGTCCCCGGTTGGGCTGAATGCTGTCGACGGTTCTCGAGAAATGTCCTTTCGTCATGTCCCCTCTTCCTTCCCTTCCTCGTGTCGGGATACTTGGAGCGGCTGATGACAATGTCGGGGACGACGAGTCAAAATCATCACGGCGGGGAACCACATAACCGCATAACCGCATAATTCGTCAGGACATATGCACTGGTGGCCAGCCACGCTTCATGACACTGCCATGATGAATGTACGAGGAAAAGAAGAGAGAAGAGAGACATTATCGGATGACGTATATGTCTTGAAACCTCTGTGTATGCTTCATTACAACAATCGCATTACCCAAAAGCCATGCCACACCCTCCCCCCCCAATTCGTCAGGTGTTCTCGTTCATCTCAAGGACGTGACGGGTATCTTATGACCCTATAAAAAAAACTAGGTAGTCTACATTCCAAAACCCAAACCAAACCAAAAGTGCAGGAAACAAAAGTGACAAGAGAGAGAAAATTTGACATGTGATATGACCATGCACCCTTTTTTTTTTTTTTGCATACTGTGGAGGCAGTTCGTTCTCGATCACAGAAAGTAGTCGCTGGGACCTCTCCTGCTAGCGGGCAAGTGCCTCTGGTCGTCGGGCACGGCCGAGAAGATGCTAAACTTGGGATCGAGGTCCTTTTCCACCGACATGATGGATGCAACGTTGCCGCACCTGTAGCAATAGTTGGGCGCCGACCAGACGGTGACGACCGAGTTTTCGGGGAAGTGATACTATAGAAGTGACGTGTCAGGGGACTCCATCGAGGATGTGTGCGCGGGGAGCCGATCCTTTCTTACCTTGTATCCCTCATTAACGAGCTGATGGGCACGGGCAATCAGCTTGAGGCCGTTGACGTGGTTGAACTCTGTGGCCACCTTATCTCCAAACAGCCAGCCTGCGCCGCGAGGGCTGATGGCCCACGTCTCGACATCCTCAGGATCCGACCATACCAGGTCGCAGAATGCTCCCTCGTGGGGAATCTCCTGAGCGCGCGCAACGACACGGATCTGGTCGATGGTCCTGATCTCGGGGCTCAGCCCTCCGTGAACACAGAGGACCTCGCCGTCGACGATGGCGGCGAGGACGAGGAAGTCAAAGACGTGGCAGCACGCCTTCCACACCGAGGCGTTCCCGTATTTTTGCTGGCACTCCTCGTAGAAGCCGTAAACCTGTGTGATTTGTCGAGACTCGTGGTTGCCTCGGACGAGGACGATCCGGTCGGGGTATCTAGAACGTAGCAGGGCTCTCTGTCAGCGATCCCTCCTCCTCCAAGACCCGCACCCCACCAAGAGAAAAGACCGTTGCCGGTCTGTTTTGCGGGGGACAGTTTTGCGGGGGGGGGGGTGAAAATACTTGGCCTTGAGGCACATGAGCAGAGTAAACGTCTCGAGGGAAAAGTATCCTCTGTCGACAAAATCGCCAAGAAAGACGAATCGGGTCTCGGCGCTCTGAGACGACGCCACGACGCCTACACCCGAGTCGGCGGGTGACGCGCCGTCATCGCCTCCCCGAGCATCGTTGCCGTTGTCGTCGCCAGCATTAACGTGGCCATCGATGGCGCTGTCGGGCGAGGCGCGCAGCCTCTTCTTGAGCTTGGGGTCTGTGATCTCGGTCGGGGGCTCGAAATCCTCCGATGTGATGACGGTCGTAGCCGTCTTGGGTGCCTGGGCGTTTGTCTCCCCGGGCATCCCACCCGAGACGCGGAATAGTTCGAGCAAGTCGTAGAACTGGCCGTGGATATCGCCGCAGACGGTGACGGGGGTGCCTACAGGTTGGATGTTGGACTCTGGGAGACCCCCGCTCGGCGAGTGAGTGCTACGTCAGTCTTCGAGTGCACACGGCAGCAAAGGAGCACGACTGAGGCCGGAGGGGTTTCCGTGACGGTATGATGACGGGGAGACACTGTTCGCTCACCTTCCATCAGAATCTCCTTGACCTTCTCGCAGAGCTCCTTCATCACCCGCTCGGGCAGGTATTTGCACTGCTTAGCCTGCTCCAGCCACTCATCTAGACTCGAGTTGGGCCCCAGGTTGGCGGGGCCCGGACGTGGTATGGTTGAGGCCATCACTGAGGCATGTCCCAGGTCGGGTAGGTAGGTAGGTTGTGATGAGGGTTTCCGAGAGTTGACCCTCGTTGCTCTCTATCTTGTAAGGGATTGGGCCTAGGAATGGGCAGATGGCTGGCGGGCGTACGACGACGTAGCAGCCAGCATTAACGTCAGTGCGGCAGTCACAGAGAGACCGACTCAAGGCTAGGTGCTGTCGCACGCCTCACTTTTGGTCAGAAGGTGGGGGGGGGGGGGGGGGCCCATGCGCCGGAACAGAACCCTCTGAAGAGATCGGGAGTGCCCTGGAGAGCCACTGTGGATGACCTCCCCGCAGCCTCTGTAGTCCCCTAAAAAAACTATAAAAAAAAAAATCCGGGCGCCCTCCAGTCTTCTGTTCACAGGCGCATCATCGTTTGACTTGATTAGCGGAGTTTTCGGGCAAGAGCACTCAAACGTCCACCCAATGGCTGTCTGTGCGCACGAGATACGCTGAAGGCTTGGAGGGATAGTGGTCCTCCTGCAACGACCAGCCCTGTGCCCGCTGTCAGGCAATACGTATTATTTGTTACCTGATTGTAGTGGAAGGAAGGCGCTCACACCAGCAGCGCCCCATTTGCCTCTGCTTCAGCCTTCCACAGCTACAGTCCTCTGCATCTCAACAAGGGTTGATATACTTTCACCTCACACCGAACCCGGTCACGCAGCGCGCCGCCATCGTTGAATGCACTGGCGACCTTATCATCGCCTCCATCATTCCTCTCTTCCTTTTTTTTTTCTTTTTCTTTTCGCGCCGCCTTTCCCCGGCTCAGAACCTCTGCGGATAAGCCAACCATAGAGTGCCTTGGTGGGGCACACCACCCGGGGCTGTGAGCCCAGCAAGCAGCACGACATCTCACCCGTCTTCATACAGTGTCAAGCAGCAGATTGAGACCTTGCTGTGTCGTTCTGCGTCCACGCGCAGCCTCTTGCAGATAGGCATGTCCAGTCAGGCACCTCGAGCCATGTCGCGTAGAGGCCACCAAGGCCGCCCGCGAACGGCCAACGATGCCAAGGTGAGTCGAAGGGGGAGAGAGGTGTGACCTTCGCTTCGCATCAACGAAAACTTTTTGCCAGCTTCGATTTACTCATATGCACACACCTCATCGCAGGTCGCCAAGGGTTCCGATAATGCGGCTAGCAAGGCCGGCAAGGACAAGTCTGTGATTGACAAGGGGAGCGAGACGGTTACCAAGGTGATTAATTACGCACGCGGGCACGCGACGGCAGCGCATCGCATCATATTGACTGAACGACTGCTAGAGTGAAACGTCGAAGCCCGCCAAGCCCAAGCCTCAGAATGAGGGAGAGAAGCTAGTCGTTCGACGGCTGCCCCCGGGCATGACCGAGGCCGAGTTCGTTGCCATCCTCGGCCCCGAATGGGAGGCCGGGCAGGGCAGGGTCGACTGGTTCAGTTATCGCGAGGGCAAAATCACGACCAAGTAAGCCCCAACTGGACGAGTGCTCATGACGAGCTCGATCATGGTCGAGACGTGTGCCATCATCTGACAGTTGTTCAAAGCTCATCAAAAGCGTCTCGTCCTGCGCGTGCCTATATTCGCGTCGTGCGCAAGGACTACATCATACCGCTCGACGAGGCCGTCCGCTCCAAGACCTGGGAGGACGCCAAGGGCAGCTTCAACGATCCCTCGCTCGTCGGCCCGCCCACTGTCGAGTTCTGCCTCTACAAGAAGGTCCCGAGCAGCAAAAAGCGCACCGACGCGCGCGAGGGCACCATCGACCAGGACCCCGGATTCATGGCTTTCCTCGAGAGCCTCGCCAACCCTGTGCAGCCAAAGGACATAGAGGCCGACGATGACGAAGTCGACAAGGACACCAGGGTCACGTCTACACCTCTCGTCGAGTATCTGAAAGAAAAGAAGGCAAGCAAGGCTAAGGACAGTTCCTCTAGGAAGAGCGCCAAGGACGGTGGCAGCAGCAAGACCAAGGGCAGCAGTGCCAAGGAGGATGCCGCCCTCAAGAAGAAGGGCAGGGGATTTTCCAAGGAAGAAAAGATTGAAAAGCCCAAGGAGACGGTCAAGATACTGACCAAGAAGGCCGCCGCTACCGCGGAACCGCCCCCGGAACCTGCCAAGAGTGTCGCGGGGCAGAGCAGTGCCACCAACGGCGCCGATGTTCCCAAGAGCCGCCGGGCCGGGATAGCCGCGGCTGCCCGCATCCTCCAGCGGGATCTTGGACTGAGCCCCGGAAGTGCCCACAGGCGCGCACGCCAGGATGCGGCCAAAGCCGAGACCAAACCCTCGGAGGGCAAGGAGGGAGCTGGGACGGCGCCTACTCCGAGTGCGGCTGCGGACACCGAGCGCGTCACATCCCCTGCCCCCTCGGACGGTACGGCATCCCAGGCCAACAAGGCCAGCAGCCAGACGGTATCCAAGCCTTCTTCGGGTAGGAGAAACAGGGGCGGCAAGAATGCCGACAAGGCGAAACCTAGCGACCCGACACCGGCTGCGCCACCGGCGCCGCCCATCATCCTCAAGAAGAGGCAGCCCGACGCTGCCGAGAACGATCACAGCAACAGCAAGGCAGTGGAAGGGCCGGTCAGCAACGGCCAAGCGTCCAAGCCTACTCCGAGCTCGTCCTCCAAAGCGTCATCCGGCAACAAGTCTGGGCAGAAGAAGCAGACGGGTATCAGCGCCGACGCCACACGGGCCTTTGTCAAGCACGTGAGCACCTCGCAGGGCGTCACCGAAGCCACCCTCCGCCAAGCTCTCGAAATGTTTGGCAGCATTACCCTCGTCGAGGTGGACAGGCGCAAGGGCTTCGCCTACGTCGACTTTTCCAACAACGAGGGCCTGGCCAAGGCCATGGCGGCTAGCCCCATCAGCATCGGGCAGGCGTCAGTTCAGGTCCTCGAGCGCAAGGACAAGAAGTCGGGTGGTGGCGGCGGCGGCGGCGGCGGCGGTGGCGGTGGCGGCGGTGGCGGCGGTGGCAGCAATGGCAACAATCAGGGAGCAGCAGCAGCCGGTGGATCGGGCAGCAACAATGCAGAGGCCGGTACCGCCTCTTCTGGAAAACCCGAAAAGGGGTCTGGTCGCGGGAGACGAGGCCGAGGCGGCGGCGGCGGTAACAAGAACGCGGGCAACAATGACAAAGCCCAGCCGGCTAACGGAGACGGCGGCTGATGTGGCGTGCTCTCTTCCTCGGTACTGAGCGAAAACACAGACGGGCACGGGCCTCCGCAGGGCTGACTCTCCTGGGCTGCCGTTCCCGGAACAGGGGCCCGTCGAAGCAACTGCTGTCATTGTTACCCCAGACGGACATGGCTCGCCCCCCTCCCTCCCTCGATACCAAGACTTCACAGTATGAGATGGAGAAGGCAGTGTCCGACACAAGCTCGAGAAGAGCAAGGCGGCTGGGCTTACGCCGTTACCTGAAACAACACTTGGTATGCCTGTCGAGGTAGTTTACTCCGGATGCCTCGATGCCACGCGGCAGTGAGAAAGCACAAGATATTAGCGCGGCAATAATCACATGAAAAGAAGAAGCAATCCCCAGAGCCCCCAAACCCCCCGGTGCGTCATGGGACTCGGGGGTATATTAAGAAATGTTTCCGATACTGATATTTGATATTTGATATTTTCCTTTTTGTTTCTTTCTGCCCTTCGAATGACCACAAAACTCCGTTGATAACGACTAGTACTATCTACATCAAGCAATCAAACATGTTGCCCAGGAACAAGGACATGCTGGCTCGTTTCTGTTCGTTTCTTCTTCTCCTTCTTTTTTTCCTTTGAGATGTGATGAGATACGAAGAGGAAATGACTGCGGGCATGACTCTCATAAGAAGCCCAGCGTACTGAGAACGAGACACAGGATCAGACCGAGCGAGAAGCCGGTGACGAGGCCATTCCTCTCAGCAGCGACATTGGCCAGCCAGGCTCGCACGTCATAGACCCACAGCCTCTGGCCGACGTCGCGTCTGGCGGTGCGCAGTCCGGGCAGGCCGTCCACGCTGTAGACGTTGTTCTTGTTGTGGTAGTCGAGCATCTTGGCGGACTCGACCTTTGCGCCGGCCCACTGGTCGAGGGTGGGGCGGTCCTCGAAGACGGACAGCTCGCTGGGCCCGTCGAGGTCCTGGTGCTCGGCGTCCTCGTCGCTCTGGTGGCCGTCGTGGTGGTGGGAGGCGGAGTAGAGCTCCTTCCGGACGCGGGGCACGCCGTATCCGCAGCTGGTCTGGACCTCCCAGACGTCGCAGAGGATGACGGCCCTGGCGCCGTCGAACGCGTCCCGCTTCCCGTCGGCGATGCGGCGCACCAGGTCACCGAACTCGGGCTGGCGATCCCACTCGACGACGCGGGAGCGGCAGAATAGGCGGAGGATGCGCGGCGTATCGCCGAAGCTGATGAACATGATGCACAGCCGGCCATTCTCGTACGAGTGCGCGATGGTCTCGCAGCCGGAGCCGGTGCGGTCGATGTAGGCCACCTGGGTGGGCGAGAGGATGGCGAAGTGCGACGACGTCAGACCTTTGGGGGACACGTTGATGTGGCGGCCGTGGGTGGCGGCCGAGCCGGTGAAGAAGACGGGCTGCCGCTTGGCCCAGTCGGCCAGCTTGGGGGGTATGGAGGGGAAGAGCTTCATCTCTGGTTCGTCTCCGGGCTGACTATGGCCTGGGAGCCGATCGTCCTCTCACCCGGGTTGGTTGGCGTCTTTCGATGTCTGAGGAGGAACCGGTTCCGTCTCAGGTCGAATTCATCTTTCCCAAGGCTGGAAAGGGAGAGGAGGGGGAGAGGATGAGAGCAGAGGACAGGTTCGGAGATTGGAGACGGTGGCGTGGCGTGCTGGGATCTATCTGGTGCGGGGTTGCGACAACGGCCAATGTCCAGGTTGTGTGCGTGCGTGCATGCGTGCGTGCGTGCGTGTGTGTGTGTGTGTGTGTGTGTGTGTGTGTGTGTCCCCCTGCAGATTTCCTAATCCGCAATGACCTTTTTTTTTATTTTAATTTTTATTTTTTTAATACTTTTTTAATTTTTTGCTTATTCCGTCGATCGAGTTCCGAAAGTGATGCATATGAGTCATTGGCCTTTTTTTCCCCTCTCTCTTATTTTCCTTTTCCTATTTTTTCTTCCCGCTTGTTGATGTCAGATGTCGGACATCAAGAAGGGGCAAGGGAGGAAGAAGGAGAAGAAGAAGGAGGAGAATGAGAAGAACGGACAGCAGCAGCAGCAGCAGCATCTGACAATCATGCGTAGTAGGGAACACGTCTCCCATGATCATTATACGCGCCATCGCTGTGGATGGTACCGACACCACCCTCGCTGCCCATCAGGTACGGCGGGGTGGCGACGGCGGCGGCGGCGGCGGTGGCGGTTGCGCCGGGACCGAAGGGGTTGGCTGTCCTAGGCATGTGGTAGTACTGCTGGGACAGCCTCTTGTTCGCGCCCGCGGCGGCGGAGATGACGCCCGGTCCGACGGCCGGGGTGACGACGTGTCCGGCCGCTCCGAACGAGTAGGACCGACCTAGGGGCTTGGCCGAGACGGAGCGGTGGCTGCTGCTGTTGCTGCTGCCGCTGATGTTGGCGTTGGCGTTGGCGTTGCTGCTGCTGCTGCTGCTGCTGCCGCCGCCGTTGTTGACCGACACCCGATGGCTGCCCGTGCTGTTGGCCGCGGTGCTTCCCGAGGGGGCCAGCGGGGGACGCTTCTTCTTGCCGGAGGAGGACGAGGAGGACGGGGTCAGGGTAGCCGAGGCCTTCTTCTCCTCGAACCGCCTGGACAGACGCTGCCTCTCGGCCTCGTCCTCCCGACGGGTCCTGGACACGGCCCTCTCCCGCTCCCGCTCCCGCTCCCTGGCACGGCCGCGGTCGTCCTTGGCGTGGCCGTCCTTGGCGGACTTCTTCTTGGAAGGCGCGGGGGTGACGGGAGCTGCCGGTGCTGCCGCCTGGAGGGGAGGGGGGGGGCCGCCACCGAGGCTGCCTACGCTCTCGTTGTTCACGGAGGCGGAGGATGTCGGGGGCGAGGAGGTGATGCCGTTGTAGGCGTCCACCACGTCGCCGTACTTCGTCTCCAGCTCGACGTAGCGCCTCACCCAGTTCTCGTTGAGGGCGGCGTAGTTCTCCCGAGACTGCTGGTACTTGTCGCGGTAGTCGTCCCTGGACTCGACGGCCGTCTGGAGCTTGGCGGTCAGGTCATCGTTGCGCTTCTTGAGCCTCTCGCACTCCGTCTTGGCGCGGTCCCGATCCCCCACGGCTCTGTTGAGCTCCGTATTGGCCTTGTACAGCGCGTCTCGTAGGGACTGCTCGACATCTGGATGGTTGTCAGCACGTGGCGTATCAAACAAGACGCATACAGATGTGTGTACTATACATGATATATATATATATATATATATATATACATACTCATACACACACACACACATGCACACACACACGCACACACATATATATATACATGTATATATATGTGCAAAGTAAATGATGACTCTCAGATCTCGAACTCGAGAGAATGAAGAAGGGAAAGGGGAAAAGGGGGGAGGGGGGGAGGAAGAGGAAGAGAAAAAAATCACCAACCAGTCTCACGCTTTCGCGGAGCAGACGCTCTCTCTGAAGATCTCATCATGACTGTCTTCTTTTTTCTTCGTCGTTCGTCTGGCTTTCTCTCTCTTGTTTCTTCAACACAACTCTTTCTCTCTCTGTGTCTCTCTTTTTCTTTCTTTCTTTCTCTCTCGTTAATAATCTTCTCTCCCTTCCTTCTCTTCCAGAGTTGTACCACTAAGGTAAGGAGTAACGCAGTTTGCAGCGGTTCGTCAGGGTTAAATGCACAGACTGCGTTGATGCCCAACCCACACCCAAGGATCAGAGAAGACAAGAAGTGACAGGGGGGAGGGGGGGGGGGGCCGAGCCACACGAGGGCGGCAAACAAGGAAAATAAATTCTAAAAAAGATGAGAGGATGAGAGAGAAAAGGAAAAGATGAAACAAGGTTGAGAGGAAAGCAGTGTCCCCCCTTTATTTATTTTTTTCCTCTCCTTCGTCTAGAGGAAATCAGGCTATTTTTCGAGGGAGGGAGGTAGGGGCAAAAGAATGATGAGGTATATAATTCACATATATATATATATATATATACATAAAATATTATATATTATGACGAAGCAGAGGGAGAGAGAGAGAGATAAAGAAGGGAGAAGAAGGACGGACGGGAAGAAGAGAGATGGAGAGAGAGGAGGAGAGAGAATAGGATGTGGTCCGAGTGCTGGCTATATATGTATACGAGTTGTGTGTGCGTGTGCGCGAACGTCTTGTATAAGTTGTCATTCCTTATATCACCATATACAGGGTACAGGAGGAGAGAGCGTGTGTGGCTCTGCCGCTGTAGCCTGCTGATACCTCTGCACCACGAGTATCACTTCTTCTTTCTGTCTCTACTTCTTCTTCATACAAGAAAATCTCACGATTGTGGCTTTGTTCTGAGGGGGGGAAGCTGTCACGAGAAAAAGAGAAGAAAGTAATAATGCAAGTTTGTATGTGCGTGTATGTATGTGTGTATGTGTGTGCGATGTGTGTGTGTATGTGTGTGTATGTGTATATGTGTGTGTGTGTCGTGCTCCTTTTTATTATAATAAAAATAAAAGGATAATAATGATGATTAGATAAAACCAAGTTTATTTCACCGACTATAAGAAATACTTTCTTTTCCTATTCTCCGCAAGAAAGAGAGAGAGAGAGAGAGAAAAGGCGGAAATCACAACAACAAAGAAGCACATCATCATACAACTGCTACAGAGACGGAAAAAAAAAAAAAGAAGAAGAAAAAAAAGAGGTAAGAAGAAGAAGGGAAGGAAATCGTCGGCCCCGAGACGATCAAGTCTTGTTCTGCCAGTCTGCGGCACCAACCATGTAATCCATCATACAACCAGGAACCAATCCACCTCCCTAGGGCTGAGCTGGCAAGATCAGCTCATTCTCGGAGAAGAAGAAGACTTAGAGGGAGGGGGGAAAGAAAAAAGAGAGAAGAGAAGAGGGACACAAGGCAACACCTCTGCCCGAGGTTGCCGGTGGTGGCTCATTCGAAACAATTACATGGTAGGAGACAAGATATAGGCAGACATGGTTACTATAAGCAGAAGATCTTGAAGGTGGAGGCATCGAGGCACACACTCTCTCGCTCTCTCTCTCTCTTCTCTCTCTCTCTCTCTGTCCGTCCATCCATCTCCTACATGTACAAGTCTTCTACGCGGTACGAGTATACATGTAATATATAACATTACACATGTACACGCATACAAGAGAAATCACATACATCTGTATGACGGTACTACGGATAGCAGCATTACAGAAGAGTGAAATGTGTACACGGTACGAGTCGCATACATGATTCGTGCACTCGTGCATGTACGGTATTATCATCACGACGTATGAATCAGCACACATCAGGCTCACAAGCAGGAGAAACGGTCTCTGAAAGACCGCATAGACCAGGGTCAGGGGGGCTGAGTCTCGAAGACGGGCAAGGAAGGGATTCGGGAGATAGAAGAGGAAAAAAAAAAAGGGTGACCAAGAA